GGAGAAAAGCAGCCACACCACAGTCACAAAAAGAAAATTCTGCTCCTTATAATGCCGTTCCAAGATGAGTTTCCCTACAATATGGCACAGCCTATTGTCAGGAATACCTTTAGTATCATCTTCAGAGCATATGGTATATTCTGAAGATAAGCAACCAAATGTCTGTGGCCCAATTTACAGCTGGAAAGCTGGCATCCAGTTATGTTACACTATTAAAATGCTGCTACTGCATGAAACTTGGTTATGTTTACTCCTTATGCATTTTAGTGTCCTTGTCTATAGTCCTGTGGCCTTGTACCTTACAAGAAATGCATTGTTTGCCCCTAACTTGGAGTACTGGCTTCTATTTGCCTTTTTAGGGTTGAAAAGCCAATTTTATAAGTGGTGCTGCCCCTGGCTACAGGCAGATTCTAGGACTTGCTATGCAGAGAACTTGCATACTGAGGATTCTAATTGAGTACTCCAGGGGCACTTTTGCTAAAGCCTGAATATCTTGTATTGTCCATCGGTTAAGGGATTTAAGCCTGCTAAATTGCCCTGACAAGTGATTGCTTGAGGCCACAAATCAGAAGGGAGGTATTTCATCCTACTAAAGAATTTTAAGTGGTACATCACAGATGTAGTCTGGCTAGAGAAGCTGTCTTGTGTAGGTGAAAGGGAGAATGTCATTGCAGCACTGGTGAGCATTGAGGTGCTAATCTGGGTAAAACCTGGCTGAAGTACCTGTGACTGAGGCAGTGCCTTCTCACTATTCTGCTCTCAGGCACTTGAATCTCTCTCAAAACTAAACCAATCTTCTATGTCCATCTTTAGTTCTTTCTTTCAAATAATAATATAACTCAGTAGAAAAATTTATTCAGATGCATCAGTGCTCATGTGCAACAATCTGAATTGATGCTGAGTAAGCTAATTTTTCTATTACTGAGCAGACTAGTTTGCAAGCAACAACTTATATAGCTGAAGGAAAGACTGTGTGATACCATGACATGGCACACCTTCCCACCTTCTCTGAAGTTTACAGATTTTCTTGTTTGTTCTTCTGCTGTGTCTCGCTGATTCCTGGATATTGAGGGGTATTAAAGGAAGTTGGGATTAGGAACAGTGAATATTGTAATTAGGGCATTCCCTTCAAGAAGAGAGAGTGGGCTCAAGCTGCCTCAGGTTGAGGAGGGCTTTGAGCCACTCTTTCAAGGACTCACTTGAGATGCAGCAGGCCACTCTCTCTTGCTTCCTCCCAGCAGATGCCTATCTGCAAAAGAGAGTCCTTTGCCAATGTTTTCTTGTAGTGGTTTCCTCATCAGGAGCATGGAGCCGCATTGTAGGTGACAGAAAAGCAGATCTCTTCTTAAACCCTTCACTTCAGAGGTTCTTGTTTCTCTCCATTTTCTGTACAAAGCTGGAAAACCCTTCTGACTTTACATGATATGATTAGTTAGCCTGGGTCTGGTCAACACTTCAAGTGTTGCAGCCTTGAGTTTGGGTTTAAGTTAAGTCACCTGAATGTCTCAAAAATGTCTTGGTACATAACATGTAAGCATAGTTATCTGCCTTCTGGAGGTGGAGTATTGTTCAGTTTTGCCAAAAAGCATTACCCTCTGTGCTTAGAGCTTGCATCTAGTAACTTGAGGGGGCTACAGTACGTGCTCTATTGATACAGCTCCACAAGGAAGGCAGTAAAAAAATAATTTAATTTTGGGATGACTGCTCTGATAGATGACTTAATTCACTTTCAGGGTTTCTTGGGATTTTTTTTGCAAATGCCAAAACAATGTTTGTTACTTGAGCATCACTTCAGTAATATAGAAGTACTCTGATTTTTAAGTAGCACTATAAAAACCTATGAAACACAGATTGCTATGCTTTTATTTTTCTTGTATTTCCACTTCATCTTACTCCCAAGAGTAATTTGCAGCAAAGCAAAAAAAAATAATCTTAGGTCATGTGCTAAGTAATGTGTAACTCAGTTCTGACAGGATTTTAAGAAGACAAAGTTGGTGAGGTTACTGGAAAATTTGAATTAGTGGTTTTGAGGAAATTCTGTTTATTTTTTCACTAGATTACTGAACATTGTAGAATGGGTATTGACAGTAATGATATCATCAGGTCTGGACCCTGTGCACTGCAGATGAACAGAGTTATTTGCCCTAATTTTCACAGGCATTGTCCAATGATATAGAGTGGCATTACTTGTAATTAGCTAGTTTAAATTTTATACCTCTAATTTAAATATATTGTTGTGTTGTGTTTAGCAACTTGTACGCTTTGTAGCTGCATTTTGTTAGTTTAAAAAGGCTTCTTGTGATCCTAGAATGTGAGCTGGGGAAGAAGAGGACAGCGGTTGGTGGGTCAAGATGCATCTAAAATCATGGAAAAAAATATTTTGCAAATCTGTTAATCTATTATATCTCTAAAACAGGTGGATGAAGTTTTCATGATAGCTAGCAAATCATTCAGGACTCAGATCACAGTGGAAATGGATAATAATTAGACAGCTGTTGACAAAATAAGAATAGTTTTCAGTAATTGTTTTAGTGTATTTGCTGTTGACAACTTCTTGCTACAAAAAGTAGAGAAGAGTGTATATGAGAGAGACTGATTTATAATTGGATGTGCAATGGAAAACATGAAAGTTGAGGAAAGTTTGGGTAAATGTGGCTTAAGTGAGAGTTTGTGGTTCCTAGTAACAAAAGGAGAGAAGAATGTTGAAGTAAAAACAATGGATTTTGTGAAAGAAGGCTGCAGTAAATACAGAATTGGGAGATAAGATCTCTTCAGTCAAGCCTCAAGGGGAAAAGGAATTAAGGAGAAGTGATGCTTTGTCAGAGATAATACTAAAGTACAAACAATGCTAATGCAGAGATTTAGATTTTAATTAAACTGGTAAATTCTTCATTGACCTCTGAGGCTTTCCCAGTTTGCCAAGGAACAAAATAAAAGACTTGTATGAGAAAGGGACAATACTGGGTAAGGAACAAGGAATGGAGACATCAAGATTACCTGCACTTCATTTTTACAAGAAAATAATAGAGAGTAGTGTGTGTGCAAGAGAAGGCACATGCACACACATACATATGTTGCACAGTAATGGAAGAGCCAGAGAAAATGTTTATCACTTACAAACCTTTCCTCCAATGGCAAGGAAATGATACTGGGGTTCTAAAGCTTATAATCTTATTTTTTGCAAATTTTGGCTAAAAAGAGTCAGATGCATTCTGTCACCTGATTTTATGTAAATTAGTTGTTTCTGAAAATTAAATAATACTATGAAACATTAAGAAAAAGTCACTAACACCAGTTTAAGGAATGACGTAGGTAGGTTTTAGTTTTAGTGTTAAATACATATATTTGAAGGTTATTTAAAAATATTTAGATGTTCCCTAACTTCTAAGAAGAAAGAAAATTGGTGTTGTAAATGAATGAATGCACCACCACAACTGGTTTTCTGAGATCTTTTCTTTTGGAGTTAATTCTTTTGACAATCTGACTGGTAGTGTTTCAGCCCAATAAATACCTCTTTTGGCTTGAAATACCAGAATTTGGTTTTTAAATGATGTGCTTTGTTCTTCAGACTTGTCTGCAATAAAACCAGAAAGCAGCAAGAGTTTATGCTTAATTTAGTGTGACAATGTGTGTATTATGCCCTTTAGAGAATCAAGACTTTGAACAGAATATACCATGTGTAGGTAACAAGTAACAAAAGTGTAATGCTTCATTTTCAGCAAACATAACTGTCTGCTCTTGCAGGAAGAATTATTACTAGCATAAAGTCAGCTGCATGTTTGGGATGGCTTTTTTTACCAGCTGTGTGGGCATAGATAGCTGGTTATACTACAAACTTGTCCAGGCAGCTGTCAGATCATTTTGGCTACCAAACAAATGTGATTCTATCTGTTAGAAAATAGAAATTACACTACAACTGGGGCCACTGAATGCAAGAACCAGTAATGGTACCTACGCTTCTAGATTCTGCTCTCTTCCATGCAGCTCTTGGTGAGGATGGTGGTTTGTTCTGTAATAAAAACACTGGAGGGGGACATAAAATGCCAATTAGTGAATGCAGTAATACTTTTGAGTACTGAATGGGATTTCACTGTGGTAGGTCCATGTGAGAATGCCATAGTATAGAATAAAATGAGTGAAAGGTCACTGCCTACTTTTTCCTCCCCCTAACCATTAGTTGAAGCATATTTAATATGCTCTTCTCATCCCTTGTCTCTGAAATAAATTTTCATTTTTTGTTGTTTTAGTTCATGTCATGACTGTTATGTCAGTTGCTTTAGCTGGTTCCCATCATTTGAATCAAAGGATCAAAGTACTTGCATCCTCTGGGACAAGTATAAATAAAAAGAATTGAAATATTCTTAGAAAATACTCTCATTATACTGGGAATAATTTGCTAACTTTGCTTTTCCAAGAGATGAAACTAAGTGAGAAAAAGCTGGTGCCATCTCTGCCTTCGGAGTAACTCTGAAATGTTGCTAGTGATTTATGTAAATTATTCTTAGCAAAACAAAATTACTTAAGGAATGATACATGTATTATATTACACATAGTCCAGCTCTTTCAGGAGATCACAGTATTAAGAATACAACTTATCAGTATGTTTTAGGAAGCTTAACATTTTAAGCATGATCTGTGTAAAATTCATATGCCTTACGGCCGGGTTAGATGGATGTGCCTTAACTGGGTTGACAACAAGCTGGGATCACTGTAGAGTTAAAAAAAAAAAAACCTCTTGCAACTAGTAAAGAAAAGTGGCACTTTCATTAAGTTTTACTTAATTCCAGTTTTGTCTTGGAATTAATTTTAACTCACAGTTTCTGTTTTAGATGGTACAAATCTCAGCTTTCTCCACACTGATATTTCCTAGTTTTTGTTCTGTTAAATGTTAAACTCTGTAATACCAATTAAATTTACCGTTAATTAAGTATGAGTAAATGTTTAATCTTCCTGTGAACTTTGAATGGTATACTAGTGGTTTCTCTTTTTCTTTGAATTAGATGGAGAGCAGAAGACTCAAGTGATGATTCATGGAATTGAGCCAATGCTGGAAACACCCATTCAGTGGCTAAGCGAACATATGAGCTATCCAGATAATTTTCTCCACATTAGTATCATTCCCCGACCTACTGATTGAAACTCAGCTATATTCCTCTGAGGATCATTCTCAAGCTGGAATTCTAAGGGCATGTCAACTTCTTGCTTCTGTCAGTCTTGACAGAGGCAGCCTGACCAGAAAAAAAGAAACCAACAAAAAGCCGAAACAAAACAAGAAGTCCTCACTGCTGTAAGCCAAACAGGAAGAGAGATCCTATCATCAGATAAGGGCAAATGGGCTGATCTTATTTTGCATCACTGCTGCGTTTGTTCACCACTGTAATTAAATCAGTTGCGATATGAAAGAATTTACAGGACTTCTGCAAGTCTGCTGTTTTCTTGTAAAATATAATGTAGCTGAAACTGTCAGCCGAAGAGCAAATGGAAATATGCCACTTGATTGTATTTCTGATTAACAAATAAACAGGGCTGTTTCCTAAAGAGGTAGTGTTTCAGCTTTGAGGGTGGAAACATTGGTTTAATTTTCTAGAAAGTTAGACACTGAGAGATTTGGTTACCAATAGCTTTTTGTAAAAGATCAAATTACTGTAAATCCATCTTTCCTTAATGAGAAGTTCATGTTTACAGCATATGTATTGGTATGCAAATGATCTTTTAACTTTGATAACAAGCAGTGAGAGATTTTAAAGTAAGCCCGTGAGCATGTTTTGTCAGTTAAAAACATGCACAACTTAATAATTACAAATACTCTTGATTTGTATGCTGTCACTGAATACTCCAGTGTGTTTATTATTCAAACCAGTTTTCATAGACTAGCAACGATGTAGGATAATTTGTCTCAGGATTCGTCATGGCATTTCTTTGTGCTCATCTAGTTTTTTTTCTTTAAGAATATATTTTCTTAATTTACTTTAAAAAGGTTTTTTGGTTTGTTTGTTTTTTTTTTTTTTTTTAAAGCTACATGGATGTTGCAAACAGGATTGTATCCTGCTGTTTATTCCCATAGACTAGGAAACAGTTAAATCATAGAATGATGAGCAGATTGCTTTTTAATGATTTTGAATTTTGGAAAGCTGAGGCTTTTCCAAGCTAATACTTTCTTACATCTGTGGTCCCTGTGCAATCGGTCCGCAATTTGGAATCTTCTAATCTCATTGCACAGATTTTTTCTTAATGTAGCAGATGTATTTTTAGGTTATTGGATCATTTTGGTTTCTAAATGTTCGCTACCATTGCAGATGCTACTCGAACTCTACCAATTTTTTTTTGTGTTGCACTAAATTCATCAAACTCTGTGCTCTCTTGCTTTGTCTGCAGTTTGTGGCTGTTTGTGGCACAAAACTATGTTTATAGTAGACATATTATCCAATCTGTCAAATATTATTCAATATAAAGAAAGCATGATATTTTTCTTTCAAAAATAGTGGCTGTCCAAGCTCCTACTCACATTCTTGGCTTGTAAATGTCCCAGTAATTCCCAGTGCTGTTCCCATTCGTTCCCATGCTCCCTTTATGGCAGGATACTTACCTGTATCTGAAAAAGAAGAAAATGAAAATCAGCCAAATGAACAAAAACCTCTTTCTGAAGCAAGAGGGGAAGGATCTCCATGGGTGAGGATAGGGTTGAGGCTAAGAAGAGCCCTGAGGGCAGAAAAAATCTGTAGACAGATTAGATACTGTTTTAAATGTTAATGAGGAAAATAGCATTAAGGAAATGGAAGGGTAAAGGTACTAATGAAACAAACCTATGCTGTATTCTGCAGGACATGAAGAACTTTTAAAACAAAACAAACCATGCTGGTCTGTGTTTATGCAGAATTGAAATATAATATTCTTATGGTGGGATGATTTGGTTAAGTTATTCTAATTTCCAGTTCTGTTTGGAATTTTTGTTACAGTGTTGGATTGGCATTTATAAACTTCCTTAGGCACACATATCTAAATATTTTGGAGATTTTCAAAGTCCTGCCAATGGATAAAGCAAATATTTTGTAGAGTCTTCATATTGAAAAAAAAAATCTTTTGTAGGGATAATTTTTCCATTAATTAGGATAAGAGGCAATACATTTCAAAAAACTGTAGAGATTGTGTTTCCTTTGTTTTAAGGTAATCTGGAGTGAGTCGCTGGCTATTTTAATATATTCTACACCAGCATTTTAAGTATACAGCTCTTCTTATGGCCCGTATTTGCCAGTAAATCCGACTTTAAGGCCTAGCATGGAACAAAGAAATAGCTTGGCTTTAAAACATACTCTTTCCTCTTACTTTAACTATTTAAACTTTATTAAAAAATAAAACAAAGTTTGAGTCTGTCTTTATTTCTAGCAAAATAAGTATCCTTGTCATGGAATGACGAGTGTTTACCTAATAAGTAGGAACTTCTTAGAAGAGGTTCTTAGAATGTCATCACATATAGATTGGGTTCTGAACTAAAGCAGGTAGGTATCTATTCTATGTTAAAATATCTGGTTTTGAGATAGGCATGGTGACATTTTGAAATGTCACACTAAACCTGAGTAATATCTCCTGAGAGAGAGGTAAAAAGACATTCAGAACTAGATTTCAGATTTCTGTACTTTCACATTACGCTATCAAATTAGCTTGTGGAAGATGAGTTGAAAATGGGAGAGATGTTTTCTCTCCTTCCCTTGCCTTTCATGTCTCTACAATTCAAGTAAATAAGTTTTTTAACTGTGAAATGAAACACCAGTTTCTGAACAATAGATTGAAGAACAGAAAGAAATACAAACAGCTATGCAAACAGCTACATGAAGAGTTTGGTGTATGTCAGGTTTTTATATGTACAAAATAACTAGCATTATATGGAGTTTAAAGGTGTGGTTTTAGCAGCATTTATATGTATAAAAACCACTTAGGGTAGAAAGAGAGGCAGTCAAACACCATGTTAGGGTTGGAGGATCTTGACTGCAATTAAAACTGCCAAAACGTGTCCAATTTTAAAATAGCACTTTCCACTGAAGATGTTCAAAGCCTTAATACTTGCATCATTTCACTAATCTAGGTCAATAATAGAATGAATGTGTTGTGGAAACAAATCTGTGATCTAGCTACTAATACTCATTATACCCTGAGCTCTCACCATAACCGAGTATAACTCGTTGGAAAGGGCAAAGCCAATTTGCAGTGTTGTTCGCTTGCATCTGTTGGAATTTGAAGGATCGCTTGCTAGACTTTTGTCAAGTGTGTTTTGCAAGTTCACAAGCACTTTTTAGAAACCTCTAGAAGCTTGGTTCTTTTTCAAAGAAAGAGCTGTAGTGGGGGAAAAAACAATGAATAGCACTGTTCACTAAACCTGTCCCTTCAGTGGCTGCCTTACAGTGAAAGGCACGTGGAGGGAGTGCACGAGTGAGAGCTGGTGATGCCTTATTTTGTACAGATATGTTATAATTTCTCCTTGTGTATATTGTTACTTAGTGTCCCAGCTGACATAACAAGCCAGACAACTTGTTATTCTTTCAGCTAGACAGAGGCACTCAAGTATTTTTATTACTACAAAATTAAAGCTCAGAATGGAAACTATCTGGCTGAAACTTGCACCTTACATGCTTTTCTGACTATAATTAAAATAATCTGCACTTCAGAGGTTTGATTTCCATCAGTCATGTGTACACACACCCTCACTGGATTTTTTCTGCAGTTCAAAATTGGGAAAATAGGGTGGTTTTCCTTCATTTTAAAGTTTATCTGAGTCTGTACAAGGCAAACAGGAGGAGGGGATCAGGCCATGGGGGTGAGCCTAAAGCCCTGAAATCGTGGCATGACACAGGAAGTCATACGGTTTCTTCACCATTTCCACAGCGACCATTTTATCGTAAGAATCCTGGCCCTTGCAGATTCTTCTTTAATTTGCAGCTTCTCTTTTTTTATCTGATGCTTGACCTCGGCTCAGTGGTGATGAGGCTGTGCCTGCCCCTGGCTCCACAGCTCCGTCTCTCCCTTGCAGGATTTGCCGTCGGTGCGTGTGTGTGACTGAAATGCCCATCTCGGGGCCCTCCCTGACACTTCTCGCATGGCTCCTCCTTCACCAGCAGAGCGTGAGTTCATTTCTGCTGGCTTTTACCATGAATTGGGTGGCCCTGGAGGAAAGCAGTGAGAGAAGGGTGCAGAGGAGGAGAGAGGGAAACGAGAAGAATTAAAAAACAGTGAAGGTGGGGCTTGAGAGAAAATACTTTGTGGGGACTGAAATGACAGAGCCGGATTCTTGATCTCACCCAGGTTTCTCATTCACTCATCACCTTGCAGCTCCCACCACGTGCTTTCCTTTCCATCCTTTCCATGAATGCATTGCAATGGCTTTCACCACCTGTGGGACAGTGTCTGGCACCTCTGGTGTTGCCTGGAGTGAGCAGTCACTGAGTGTGTATTTAACTTTGATGGTTTAGCACATTGCTGAAGGAGGCCTTTATTTACAGGAATTGTTTTAGAGCTTCCTCCTCTGCAGCAGATCCTCGGCCTGGGCTTCCTTCATGTGGGGAGTCAGAATGGGGAGGTCCTGCTGCAGGAAACATCCTGCACAGGCACCACAGGTCACTGTTCCAATACACTGTATGTTGGAAAATTGAGTCATGGATGGATGGATGCATGGATGAGTCACTAGAGGACCTTTCTTTCATGAAAGTTACTGTTTCATGTCTCTGAAGTTTTATATTATGCCGTTCTGAATGTTTCATAAAGAACAGCAGAATAAATTTTCAGTGTGGCTAATAAATACCAAACCCAGATTGGGTCACAAGCATTTTCTGTTTCATTTTCCAGTCAGAATAAAATTCCATTTTATGGGGTTTAGTTGTAGAACAAGACATCAATATTTGTAATGACTTTGTACAGGCAGTAGAAAGAGGATGTGTCCATTGTAATCATCAGCATTTCTGCACTGTACATCTCAACACCTTTTAATATGAAGATACATGAGGCCTTCTGCTGAGGCATGGTTTTGCTGAGCCACCCAGGCAGTTTCTCTGTCAGTTTGGGAGGTCTGCTCCCCTATGGAAACTCTCCGGTTTTGGTTTATTGTATATAAATTTATACTTGATGGCTGTTGAGAAAATGACTGGAAGAGTAGCCATAATGGCAATGGAAAAAAAAAAAAAAAAAAAAAAAGAAAAAAGAAAAAACCAAAAAAAAACCAAAAAAAAAAAAAAAAGGCAAAGCTTAATTTATTGCTCAAATGGAATGTCTTTCAGTAAGAAATCATGATGTCAGTTTTCAGTGAAATTAGTGATGTCCTACTTCTGGTTGTGTATTCAGTTATTTCAGTGGTAAGAGGGAGCAATCCTAATGGGTCAGCTTACAATTACCCTGAAATATATATAGTGTGTTTTTAATTAATATGCCAATAACAGGAGTTACTCATATTTTATTCTTTCTTGTACTGAAACTTGAATGCATTCAAGGGTTCTGCTGCAATTGGCTTCCTCCGGGAAGTGCAGCAGGAATTGTGTCTCTTCTGGCCTCCATAG